ACCGAACCCCCAAAAAAGGGGGGGTCGGTACAGGCTCGACCAAAATCCCCATCGAATGCTGTGCCCTGGTCTCACCACCGCGACGAATCACGATCCTCTTGTCACATTCCCACTCTGAGCTTTGGCTAGGGGAAGGAACTCCAACGCGTCGTGTGCTCCACCCTGCTCCTTTTCTCCAGACTAAAATTTTTTATTATCATTCGGTAAAGTATGCTTCGCATCGTCAGTTGAACAGTGTTTACGGAATCAATGCATATGTAACATTAACATTATGTAACATTAAGTGGGGCAAGGCTTCAACACCAACTATATTATCTGATGCACTACGTCTGAAAAGCCGGAAAGGTGACTGAAGGCTCCTTTGCTGCTCGCATAATCTGTCAATCTGGTGAACAAACAAGACAGGGAAGCCCTAACGTGTGCATCTGCGGCCTCCAGATATCCATTTTAATGAGTTCGTTTTGATAGTGGATGAAAGTGAAGTCCGCTCGCTTACGTGGAGTCACTGGGAACCGCTTGCTTCTGCAAGCTGAGCTAACCACGAAAATGAAGGCATATGAAAGGCCTTAGTGACGAAACGACCTATAAACAATCATGCCGCGCGTTTCATGCTTGCCTTTGATAATGCTACAGGATTTTCGACACCGTGTCGCGTGCTTCTTCAACAGTCTCACAGTGCACCATTTCGGACTCCTCGTGTGGAACTAGATTCGCCTTAATGTAGAATAAGAATTCTGCTTAAGGCTAAAAGGGGCGAGCGCCTGTTTGTGCGATCAACTCCAAGTACGGCAGTTCTGCTCGGTTAATCTTATTCTGGCACAAGGACCCTTTTTTGTGCCACCGCAGTTATTAGCGCCTCACTTGATAATGTCTACACCACATTCTCACCTCCGATATGCAAATGCGCGATCCAGGGATACTCATTAGTTCGGAATCTCCTGCCACCATAAGACTTGTGTACGGGACGACCTTCTGAAAAACAAGATTGAAGTATCCATCAGTAGTACATCCTGAAGGGAATTTTTTGCGCTATCTGATGGTATAATTGCCGTTTCACCATTGCTTGATAACCCCCTTTTCCCAAGACTTTTTGAAGCATGTCAAAAGAGCAACTTCGGACGATATTTTTCTTCAACTACAAATTGGGTCAATCCGCAGTCGAGACAGCTCGACAAATTAACCAGGTGGCCCAATAGTGTTGGAGAAAGCACCGTGCGACAATGGTTCGACAAATTTCGTTCTGGAGATTTCAGCCTTGAAGATGAACCTCGTAGCTAAAGCAATACCTGACGAGGATTTGAAGGCGTTTGTGGAGGCTGACCCATCCCAAACAGTTCGAGAGATTGCAGAAAAGCTAGGCGTTGGCAAATCCACTGTTGCGGATGGTCTGAAACGCATTGGGAAGGTGAAAAAACTCGACAAGTGGGTGCCCCACAATTTGAGTGACCGGCAGAAATTGGCACGTCTCGAGGTTTCTTCTTCACTGCTTTTGCGCAACAGAAACGACCCGTTTTTGGGCCGAATTGTCACCTGTGATGAAAAGTGGATCATGTATGATAACAGGAGACGTTCCGGACAGTGGTTGGATGCCGACGAACCACCGAGGCAATTTCCAAAGCCGAATCTTCACGAAAAAAGGTTATGGTCACAGTGTGGTGGTCATCGGCTGGTGTGATCCACTATAACTTTTTGTCACCAGGCCAAACCATCACAGCAGAGTCCTACTGTGAAGAAATCGACGAAATGTACCGAAAATTGCGTCAGCTGCAGCCAGCACTTGTCAACAGAAAGGGTCCGATTCTTTTGCATGACAACGCCCGCCCACACGTTTCACAAATCACTATCCATAAATTGAACGAATTGGGGGTTGAAGTTCTACCTCACCCGCCATATTCTCCAGACCTTTCACCAACCGACTATCACCTTTTCAAACATTTTCAGAACCAGCCACAGCAATGACGGCTACACCCTACACTAATAAGTTAAAGCATGCTTGAGTTCATATAGGAATCATACTTTCTTACTACTCGGCAATGCGAAGAACGCATGTGGGAATTCACGCCAAAAGATCATGGATCCCGAGCAGGGGTGCGACTGTACCTAGCTTATTCACCAACGGCACCGCCTCCTCTAATCCCTACCGTAACTATCAATCAGAAAGAAGAAAATTCCGAAAACCGACGTCTGGATGGAAATGGAGTTCACCTGCTCTTCTTGTCGTGTCACCGTAGTCCTCGTAAGAGTGGAAATTGGAAGCTGTGCAGAATGTTGGCGTTAGTCCAAGCTACCA